CTAGAACTGATGGAGTCCACAAAGCAGGAATAAAATACATCTTGATTTCTGACTTTTAGTTGAAATGTACTGTACCTCCTTTGGCTATGAGTTTATGCACCTAACGAGAGTGACTGAACAGGAATGTGCTTTGATTGCTTGCAGAATCAGATTCTTCCCATCAGACCACATTACCTTGGATCTGCTATCTTATTTGTATACATGAATAAGGAACAATTTGATAAATTTGTTTTAAAGCATTTTAGGTTTCTTGGGTTGTTTTGTGGGGTTTTGTTTTAGAACAAGCAAAGTCTATTTTTATAGTAAGCCAAGATAGGAGGATAAGCCCCACCCCTGGGTCCTGGATCTATAGTCTTTGGTCTACCATCTTGCCTACCCTGTGGGTGGTTACTTTCCTGGAACAGGTAGAAGCTTTCAGAGACATTATTCTTACCCACAATTCAGTGTTACAATTAGATGCATTAGATCCAGGGCCATGTATAAAAGTATATTTTATACACAGCTGAGATTGCTAGGCAAAGTGTAATAGTGCCTTACTATGCTCTTCAGGAAGGGGCTCCACAAAAGCCAATGGAACTGCTGAGACCAGCATTGTTTTTCTCAGAACCCTGTGCTTCCTCTTATTTGGTTATTTTGGCTGTCTTATATCCCACCCTATAAGCACTTTTATTTGTATTTCCCTATCATTAGGTTTTAAGCCTATCATTTCCCCTCCAAACCCTAAGGATTTGAGACTCAATTTACTGGGAAATGGATGATGACTGATTTAGCTGCTTCTGCTAAAAGGGGGTTGTAACTTGTTGGGTCCTTCTCTGTAGTGATATTTTGTTTATGATCTAATAAAGCTTGCCTGAAGATCAGAATGCAAAGCTAGCTACAGCCATACAGGCCAGGGTGTGATTCACACCTTGAATCCCAGCAGCCACACTAGTTAGCCACAGAAACTGGGCAGTGGTGGTGCACCCTTTAATCCCAGCGCTAGAGAGGAATATAAGACAGGAGCTCAGGGTCTCAGTCTGTATTCAGTTTTCAATCATGCTGAGGACAGGATCACCCAGCCTTGGTAGCGCTAAGAACTCTGCAGTGGCTCAGTTGTTTTGCTTTTGTGATCTTCAGCTTGAACCCCAGTATCTGTCTCTGGGTTTTTATTATTTATGCTACATTTCCCCTTAAGTCTTGTTAAGGGGACAGGTAAATGGGGTATCCAGTCTGTCCAGAGGTCCACAGTAAAAACAAGATTGTAATAGCAGTCAAGAAATGACATCCTTTGGTCAATTTTTTTTGGAGTGTTATGCCTGGAGTGCACTGTAGCTTTCCCTTTCTTTTATGAAACCCTCCTTTTCTAGGTCTTCAGTGAATTCATCCACAGCTTACACATTACTAGCCTATTGTCACTGCTGTTCACTGAATGGCATTTTGGGATGTCTTCAAACAATCTTAAAATACTTTCCAGTTTCATATCTTAGTTGTTTGATATATAATTGTAGTTTCTCTGTAGTCTGAAAATATTTAATGAAATATTTATAATATATTTAATAATAATATATTAAATATTACACTAAGACAGTATTTATAGGCTTCTTTAGACTGCCAAAGTGGTCCATGACAAACGAAGGGTTTGAAATCCCTAATATTCTGTCTCCATCTTACAAAGGTGCTCTACTCTACATACATCCATGATATGCTACAGAACAGTTTATACTCAAGGCAGAGAAATGTATAGCTTCTTTTATGCAACTTCTTTATGCTCACTAGACACCATATAAAAGTTAAATACATCAAGCAGGCCATGTACCTGTAGCCCTAACACATAGAAGGCAGAGGCAGGATGACCAGGGGTTCACAGTCACCCTTTATCCAATGAGTTTGAAGCCAGCCTAGGCAACATGAGATCCTCTCCAAATTCAAACCCCAAACAAAAAAATTACATGCATCAAATAAATGTTCCACCTAGTCACATATACAGATGGGGATCTTGAACCAAACACTACAGACCGAACAGGTCACACTTCCTGAAGCAACAGATAATTTGTCTTAAAGAAAAGCAAAAAAGGCACCATTTATGTTTCAAAATTAAAAGGATCTCATGGAGTCAGATTAAAATGGATCTTAAGTTTATCAAAATGTGTAGCAAAGTATAAGGTGTTTACCTTTGTCTTCTAAATATACCATCGACATATTAAAATATCTCGTATTACTCATTTAAAAAGCAAAAGGAAGGAAGGGAGGAAAGGAAGGAGGGAAAGAAAAAGAAAAAACAAATCTCAAAAACAAAAAGGCTAGATCCAAAAGGTAAAGGCCATCAATCCTGTGGGTCACATAACAGCAAAAACAACCTAATGAGCTAGGCAGCCACCCAAACAATGGCAATTTCTCAATAGTGGAAGGCAGTGAGAGGGCCCAAACTAAGACGACAGCAAATGCAACTGTGAATCCAAGGCCACCAGAGATAGATTCTTTGTGACCTAGAGACAATCTGGCAAGAATTATGGGGGTAAAATCCCATCTTAAAGAAAGTAGGGCCAGCAAAAAAAGCCCCAGCCACACAAGCTCAATGACCCACTTAAAGGTGGGAGAAACCTGACTCCAGTGTTCTCCTCTGACCCCTATATACTCGTTGTAGTACCTGCACTTCCCCGGCTCAGCACGTAAATAATAAAAAACTTTTAAAGAAATGTAAATATTTCTAATGTTATAATAAATAATGTATAAGTAATTCTAATGTAAAGGCATCATGTCCATTCTATCAATAAAATATATTAGCTCAAATTTTTCTAACTTTATAATGGAAATCAAGTAATAAATTAAATGTGGTTTCTTTCATTTCCTTGCCATTATTTGCCAACAAAATTAAATGTTTTCATAGAAAAACATTAAAGTCACCTTGATCGACTAGTTCTCCTACCCCCAGGCCCACTTTTGGTTTTCCAGGCTGGCCTTTAACTAATATGTATTCACAATCTTCCTGTCTCAGCTTCTTGAGTGCAAGGATTTTTGTTTGTTTGTTTTTTTGTTTTGAGACAGGGTTTCTCTTTAGCTTTGGAGGAAATGTTTTCATAGAAAAACATTAAAGTCACCTTGATCGACTAGTTCTCCTACCCCCAGGCCCACTTTTGGTTTTCCAGGCTGGCCTTTAACTACTATGTATTCACAATCTTCCTGTCTCAGCCTCTTGAGTGCAAGGATTTTTGTTTGTTTGTTTTTTTGTTTTAAGACAGGGTTTCTCTTTAGCTTTGGAGCCTGTCCTGGAACGAGCCTGTCCTGGAACTTGCTCTGTAGACCAGGCTGCCTCCCCAGTGCTAGGATTAAAGGTGTGAGCCACCACCACCTGGCTGAGTGCTGGGATTTCATATGTGAGTTACCACACATGGATGAACACTACTTCAATTTCATATGTGTAAATACATATGAATGTAACATGTATGTAAATGTACATATAATATGAATGTAAATATATATATTGAAGATAACAAAAACAAAGGTGCCATGTTGGGCATGACCACATAGGCCTAGAGCATTTGGGAAGCAGAGGCAGGCAGATCTCTTAGTTCAAGGCTAGCCTGATCTACATAGTGAGTTCCAGGTCAGTCAAGTCTACAGAGTTAGACAATGTCTTTAAGAAAACAACTTTTAATTGGCATTATTTTGGCATATCTATAACCAACATCTTAGAATCTTTTCATTCTAAGCAGTGAAAATCAAGTCCTTGGATTATTTTTCCTAATCACAGAGTCAGTTGTATATTCATCATAGAAAACCTATAAAGTAAAAAATTAAAATGAGTTCCCCATTATCTTACTGTAACCATTTATTTTCTCCATGGGACTCGCATACTAATAATGCTAGTCAATCCTTACTGACAACCGCTACTATGAGTTGGATTTGAAGTATCCTTCCAAAAGCTTATTTGTAGGAACTAGAGAGGACTCAGTGGCTGGAAACACTGACTGCCCTACAGAGAACCAGGGTTCAATTCCCAGCACTCACATGGACACTCAAGTAGCTGTAACTCTAGTTCCATGGAATCTGATGCCCTTTTCTAATCTCTATAGGCACCAGGGATATATGTGGTATATATAATACATACAGCCAAAACACTCACATACATAAAATAAAAGTTTAAAAAGTAAATGGAGAGCTGTGGGTATAGCTGAATCAATGCTAGAACACTTGCTTGGGAGATCCTGTACACTGAAAGGTGATTTGGATCATAAGGAATTCAACCTAATCAATGGATTTAACCACTCACGGTTTCTTAATATGATGGCCTTTTGGAAGGTGTTTCAAATGTCTAGAGATGGACCTAGTGAAATGGGTAGGGCTCTGTTCTCAGGGGCTACATTCATCTTGTTCCAATCCCCTTCTTCCCTCTCTGATGCCTGGTAACTGTAAGGCGAGCAGCTCTGCTCTGTCACCATGACATTTTTGCTTGGACAGGCAGAGAAGTGATAGAGCTAGCATAGCCATGAGTCAAAGTATATATTTCCTCCTTTTAAAGTGTTCTCTTGTATATTTGAAATAGCATTGAAGCTGACAGAATTTCCCATACACTGTATGGCTAGGAGCTTTATAAATAAGATTTCATTATATCCTCACAATAATTCTACTCAAATCATAGGTGAATATTATCATTTTACAGTCGTATCAGCCAGATTTAAAGAGGATAAGAAATATGTCACAGACACGGAGGTAAGTGGTAGAGATGAGCCCAGCATCCTTGAACACTGGACCACTCTAGTCCATATTAATATACACACAGACATAATGCTGCATTTTTCTTTGAGCTTAATTTCCTAAGGCACAAAAATTATGAATAGTTTCTACATAGCTATCTTATAACATTTGGTTCGATGATAATTTACTTAATTAATCTTGCTTTACCAGATCAGATATATCTTTGTATAATATTCAGAACGTGTGGTTCATTCAACAGAAAAAAAGGTAAAATTAAGACTTGTTTCACACTTCTAAAGTAAATTAAAAGATGCACTTCAACTTACTCTTTTACTGAGGCAAATAACTGGCCACATACTGCAGCCTAATGTGCAGCAGCAACACAGGCAGCCACAAAGCAACCACCGCACATTTACAGGAAGATTCTTCCTAAGACAGCTGTTAACTCTGTTGATGCTGGCTTTAAATTCCTCAGGAGCTACCTAAAAGAAGGGAAAAAATGCAACTGAGATGATAAATGCTGATAAATGGGTCTTAGTGCACATTTTTCTAATTTCTAAGGAAAACTAATTTGAGACATATAGACGGTAGATCAGTAAGAGAGACACTCGCCGGGCAGTGGTAGTGTGCACATTTAATTCCAGCGCTTGGGAGGCAAAAGTAGGCGATCTCTGAGCTCGAGGCCAGCCTGGGCTACAGAGAGTTTCAGGACAGCCAGGAAACCCTGTCTCAAAAACAAAACAAAACAAAACAAAACAGAAAGAGATACTCACTTTTCCAGTTAATGAAGAAGGAAATTCTGATTCAAATTTGTTGCTCAGTCCAAATCTGTTTTCAAAAAAGAAAAGATATGTTATTATATGAACTGTGGCAACAGCACAAAAGCTTGAACTACCTAACTTAAAGGTGGAGTGAACAGAATGTGGACCCCTCCTCAGAATGTCTAAGACAGAATGAGGGTCTAAGACAAAATCATCTTAATAAGCAACTTATAAAATATAGCATGCAATGATTTTTCCAGTGGAATCAAAACTTAAATGAGGGACAATGTTAAATAACCAACAATATATAAGTAAAAGAACATGGTTTATTTCATTTGAACTATCACATAAACCTTAAAGCATCAAAACATATTTTATTTAGCAAATTTTCTAGCTTTCACTGTTTTGAACTCATAGTACATTTTTGCCTTTTAAATACAAAAATTGTAAGAATCCAACTGCTTCATTTATTTCACTCTTAACCAAAAATATTTGTTCAATGTTTATCTTTCTTGCTTCCTAGTTATAGTGCTATTTTTAAGAATGAAAACTGTAAGATAGCATTTTCCAATGGCATTAATAACACCATATCTGAAAATGTGCTAAAACCACATATACTAGACAAGATAGCCCATTAAGCAAGTTCATTACTTAACCAACAAACTAGGACCTCTGTTCTCTGGACAATGAGCCCACAAATGGGCATTTGCTTTAAGATCACTTAATTCCAGGACTGGCTAGCAGCACAGGGGGTAGTAGGACCCAACAGGGTTGTACAAGACCGTTTTTTCTCTTGATGTATCTGAATATAAGGTATTAATATTAATACATGGTTTCATGGGTAAGAGCTGAAATATACAAAAAGGACTTAAGTTTAAGTCAAGATACAATGAAATTGTGAAGCCTGAAAGTCAAGAATAAACAGCAGACAGTAGAAAGCAGAAACTGTCAAGTGAAGTAGTAGTCAGTAGTTCTCAAGTACAAAAATCACCACGACAAGGCATTAGACCAGGGAGCAAAAGACAGCACAGAGAAAAATAGCAAAACCAAGGAAGTCCAGATGCATGATCGTGGAGTTCTGTCCCCCCTAGTCCCCATAGTGTTTTCTCTTTTTTTTCTTCTACTTACTTTTTAAATTTTCATGTGCACTGGCTTTTTTGCCTGTGTTTATGTCTGTGTGAAGGTGTAGGGTCCCCTGGAACTAGAGTTATAGACAGCTGTGAGCTGCCCTGGGTCCTCTGAAAGAGCAGCCAATGCTCCTAACTGCTGAGCCATCTCTCCAGCCCCATCCCTCAAAGCATTCTTAAATAAAATCCTACTGCTTAAATCCCCTTAAGTGTTTTTGTTTTTTATAATCTAGTAAAGCCTCATCATTCATATTTTTAAGATCCCATAATGATAGTGGCAAATGTTCCCAATATAATCCTTAATGAAAAACAAACCAAAAAAAACACCTAAAATATTATTGCCTAAGTGAAAAAAATTCAAATCCATCCAAATACTGATGGTAGTTAATGAAAATGAAGATTATGGATGTCATCTTTTTATTTTCATGTTTTCCATGACTTCTCTAATAAAATCTATTAGTATTTAAGACTAAATGTAAAGACTAAGGATAGGACTGGGGACATTGGCCTGAGCCTGAGTTTGGATCCCCAGAACATACAAAAGAAGCCAGGCCCAGCACCTGCAAACACAGCCCTGGAGGATAAGACAGGAGGAAGTGCCTGAGCTTCAGATTTAGTGAGTTTCCATCTCAGAAAATAAAGGCAGAGTGAGCGCCATGCCATACTGGAGACAGCCCATGTCTACCTCTTGTCGCATTGTGAATGTACATACAAACAAACACTACATAAAAAAGTACATATAACACATACACTCAAATGCATAATTATAATTAACTACATTATAAAAGTACATACAATACACACAATACACCTAAACACCAAGAAACAGAAAGAAAAAAAACCTAGGAATAATTACACAAAAAACACATGAGCCCTTTTGCATCGTAGTAATCATAACTTTCATTTTCTGCTTCATTAGGAAATACAACTTGCCAATTTTTAAGTAATCTTTATGCTTTTGTAATTAGAAAAGGAATCAAAATATTAAGAAAATAGATGAGAGCTTTGTTTTTAAGACAGAATTAGAAAATGTTTGTACAAGAGACATGCCTACATTTTAGAGGTAATTCTAGTCACTTTAGAGTCTATTTCAGGGCTGGGAACATAGCTTAGGCAGTAACACTCATGAAGTTGTCTAGCATACATTTAGCCCTGAGTTCAACCCCTTGCACTACAAAAACTAGGTGTGGTGGCACACATCCGAAATGCCAGAACTCGGGAAGTGATGAAAGGAAGATCAGGAATTCAAGGTCACCTGCAGTTACAAAGGGAGTTCACTGTCAGCCCAAGCTATATGAGAACCTGTCTTAAAACAAAACAAACTACAACTTCAAAAAACCCACCAACCAAAACAAACAAATGAGTGTATTTAAAGTTTTCTGTTTGGTTGGTTTTTTTGAGACAGGGTTTCTCAAACTCAGAGACTGCCAGTCTCAGCCTTCCTGAGTGCTGGGTTTTTAGACAGAAAGTTGAAGGCACCACCACCCAGCTTAAAGTCTATTTGTCATTTTGGTTTTGGGGTTTTAATGCTTGTTTGTATGTATGTGTCTCTGTGTATCCTCCTCTACCTCTCTCCACCTATTCTTTTGAGGCAGTGTCTTCCTTCCTGAACCTGGGTTTGCTCTTTCTCTGCTAATCTGGTACAACAAAGTTCCCCCAATTCTCCAGTCTCTGCTCTCCTTGCAGTCTGAGTCACAAGCATGCTCGCAGGTGCTGAGTTCCCATTTGTGTCTATTAATTACACAGCAAGTGCTCTTTTTATGTTGTTGTTAGTTGGGCCAAGACCCTTACATACCTCATTGTGTTTGTGACTTTTAGATTTACTTATTTTATGTTTTTAAGTGTTTGCCTGCATGTATGTCTGCACACCATGTGTGCACGGTATCCAAGGGTTTGAGAGGGTCTCAGATTACATGAACTGGAGCTAGAGGTGGTTGTGGGTCACCATGTGAGTGTTGAGAACTGAACCCAGGTCCTCAGAAGAGCAACAAGTCCTCTTAACCAATGAGCCCTCCCTCCTGTCCTCTACCCATAAAGCCCCTCAAAATTTCCAACTTTTTACCAACCAAGGTCAGGAGGTAGAATGTAGAAAGCAGGGTATGGAAAACATTGATTTCAAGAAAGCTAAGCAGTAACAGCAGGCTTACAACTGAAATGGCAAACATGCAGCCAGCAATCCAATTAGGTAAGACAAAAATTGGCAAGTACAAAAAGCTAATGTGGTGCAGCTGGAAGAGTAATATAATGTAGAGGGAATGCCTGGATTCTAATCCTGGTTTAAATATCAATTCATCATATTATTGGAAAAGTAGATCTTCCCTGAAATTTTGTCTCAGATAAGACAGCAGACTAAAAAGCTAATGCTGTGCTGTCCTAAGTTATTAGTTTTTATAGTGCTAAGGATGACATCCAGAGCCCTGGCAACCACTTCCCAGTGCCATCTCTAATTTAATTTAATTAACTTATTTATTTACTTATTGAGGCATGGTCTCACTATATAGGTTAGTGTGGCATTAACTTATTTATTTACTTATTGAGGCATGGTCTCACTATATAGGTTAGTGAGGCATGGAACGAGTAAGCCTCCGGTCTCAATCCATCCATCCCTCCTCATTTTTGTGTAGCTTTGGAGCCTATCCTGGCACTCGCTCTGGAGACCAGGCTGGCCTCGAACTCACAGAGATCCACCTGCCTCTGCCTCCCAAGTGCTAGGATTAAAGGTGTGCGCCACCAACACCCGGCCCTCCCCCTCATTTTTAAACTATATTATTGTATATATTTGTATGGTGTGTGTGATGGCTAGTTTTATGTCAACTTGATACAAGCTAGAACTATCTGAAAGGAGGGAACCTCAATTGAGAAAAAGCCACCATTAAATCTGGCTATAGGGCATTTTCTTGATTGCTAGGAGAAAGCCCAGCCCACAGTAGGTGGTGCCACCCCTGGGTTCTATAATAAAGCAGGCTAAGCAAGACATGAGCAAGCCAGTAAGCAATATCCCTCCATGGCCTCTGCATCAGCTCTCATCTCCAGGTTCCTGCCCTGTTTAAGTTCTTGTCCTGACTTCCTTCAATGATGGAAGTGTAAACTGAATAAACCCTTTCCTCCCCTGATTGCTTTGGTCATGGTGTTTCATCACAGCAATAGAAACCCTAAGACAGTGTGCATTCTTGGGCACATAGGTGCCACAGAGCTCATAGGGAGGTCAGAGAACACCTTTGTGGGGTTGGGGTTTCTCCTTCCACTTTTACATGGGTTCCAGGGATCAAACTTGGGTTCTAGGTTTAGATAACAGTCATTCCTGCACACTGAGCCATCTCATGGGCCCAACTCTCTCAGTTTTGTTTTGTTTTGAGAAAGAGTCTCTCTGGAGACCCTTGGAGTTTGCTATGTAGACCAGGCAGGTTTTGAACTCAAGAGATTCTCCTGCCTCTGCCTCCTAAATGCTGAGATTAAAGGCTATATACCACCATACCCAGCTCCTCAAATTTAAACAAAAAAAACAAAAAACCTGCAAGATTTAAGGGTTCAACTTATACACAGGACAGCTGCTATAAATGGGAAATGTTTTGTTATTTTTTTTAAGATTTTATTTATTTTGTATCCAACATTTTGTTTCCATGTCTATCTGCACACCAGAAGAGGGCACCAGATCTCATAACAGATGGCTGTAAGCCACCATGTGGTTGCTGGGAATTGAACTCAGGACCTCTGGAAGAGCAAACGGTGCTCTTAACCTCTGAGCCATCTCTCCAGGCCCTGTTTTGTTCTTATTTTTAAAAAGTTTACTGAGGCTTTAATATTCTATAGTGAGGTGTAGAGGCACATGCCTACAGTAAGCCCAGAACTAAGACCACTGAAGTGGGAGGACTTGAGGTTGTGAGGCCAGCTACAGCCACATAGCAAATCCTGGTTGCAAATAAAAAATAAGTTTGTACTC